CCTCTTAAGCTTAATTTGTCTGTAACTCAGCCTTGAGCTCCTGGTCATGGACCTGCATGGAGGGCAGCTGAGGGCTTCACATCTTCCCCTCTGCAGGCTGACTGCTTAGGGGTGGGCATGTGATGGTGGGCCAGGCCAGGGCTGGAAAGCTGGAGGGAGAGAAAAATGTTGGCGTTGATGATGACGAAGCAAAACCAAGCAGTGTTTCTCTTCACACCTTCAAATGCAGAAACCCTTAATAAAGAGGGTTGAAACACAGTTGTTGCTGTATTGTGAAGGCTGATAAAGGCCTCTGTGCTGTTTATGTAATTGTCAGGCTTTCTGCTCTGTCCTTGACAGACAACAAAGGACATTAAAGACTGCCAACTTTTTTTTTTTTTACATTGATACATTAATTCAGTGCCAACCAATTGGCTTTCTGAATGAATTGTCACTGCAACAATCAATTACTAAATTTTAGGAATGAAGCACGAAGAGGTGTAGGGGAAATGCTGTGGTACTTTTCCTGTAAGTAAGTCTGTTGTGATGGCTGAAGACGGAAGAGAAGAGACTTTTCTTTTTTATTAATCTGCTCCCCCTTGTGTTAATTTTGATTTTGTTCTCATATGGTATCCTTCTGTTTTCTGTTACCTGTGCGGCAAACAATGATGAATGCTGACTGACAGGTTAGGTTAGTGCTGCTAACATATATACTACTGGCAATTGTGTCCTGAGGTGTTTTGCTGCTAGAGGGAACAGCACTCGTTGAACAGAAGGAGTGTTGGAAGGGGAGTTGTGTTAGTTGCTTCTGACAGTGTCTTCTGTAGGTCAGGCCAGATGTTTGAATTGTGTTGGTGAGTTTTCATCTGCTTGCTGGAAGGATCAGCCTAGCCTTGAGCTGATGTCAGATACTTCAGTGTGGATGCCTTGCTTTTCTTTGTAAATAATGATGAATGGAGTAAGGATAAAGGCATTAAATAGAGGTATTTAAATCACATACTGTTTCTGCTCTGATCTCTGAGAGCTGGTGCAGCTCCATGGGTTTCTGGAGATGCTACGTCTTCTGCTTTTCTTGGCTGATCTCAGAGATGAGAAATCATTACAAAAATGTCAGATCTGGATGTATTTCATATTGCCTTCAGAACGTCTTCTACTGAATGTCACCTTCTCTGACACGTAGGTCAGCTGTGCACACGCTTAGCTGAAACATTTCAGGTATTCATTTGTCAGATCCTGTCTGGAGCAAAATATCCCAGGCTGTTGCTAGAATACAAGAGAATGATGGAAAACAGATGTGTGGGTTTTTTGTTTGTTTTAATAAAAAAATAATTTGGAAAAGCTTTATGTTTGAGTAGTTGGCATATGTTTTTAACTGTTGTAATGTTTTATTCCAGCATAAGGGCCTTAGGCAGACAAAACTCCAGTTCTGGATTTCTTAACAAGTACATGGATAGTGCAAAATGTTGTGTGTAAACCAGAAGAGTAGTGCATGTAAACTAGAGATCCTGATTGTTGAATTTATAAGGATCTGAAAACAAAACTGCCTAACAAGTTTAGTGTTTTGTCCGCGGAGGCAGAAATGAAATATTCAGTACCCATTTGGAAAGATAAATTAAACTTTGAAATATATGGTCTCTTTAATCACTTGAGTTGATAGCAGTGAAATTAAACTTGATTTTAATCTGACCAGTTACTTTTTATTATGCAACAACTATCTGCATTATAATGTATGCATACAGTAACTAATATTTCCCAGGCATCAATGCAAAGGATATGTAATTTAGATTTATTTGTTAAAATGTTATCACTTACTGATTAATTGAATTGGCATATGACATTCATAACTAATAACTCTGCCTGTATTACACTATGCTTATTAGACTGCTAATAGATAACTGGTTTAATCATTCGTCAATTAAAAGGATGAGTCGGTTTCATTTATTGCAATTAAATGATATCTGTAGACTGTGTTTGCAGGAAGTATCTCAATCACATCGAGTATCAGTTGCCCGTGTGGGTTCTGTTACTGACTGTGTAATGCCTGGCTGAGTCAGTTCATGTATGTGAGCTCCAAATCCACGTGTCTGGGTTCTGCATCGTACTGCGGTGTCTCTCTCCATGCTCAGTACTGAGGGAAGATCTGCTTGTGTGGCAAGGCTTAAAGGTCAAGCAGCTTTCAACGTATGACTTTTTTCAGTACGCTTTTGACTAAGCCTTTGACATCAGTACTGGATTTTGGTTTATGGGTTTTTTTGTTGTTGTTAGAAAACTGATTTTCTGACAAAGCTTTTCTTCTTTGCTTTCCAAAGAATACGTGGTGATGAAACTTCAACTGCCTTCCATTCAGTTGATGCATCGTGCTGCTGAGAGGAGTGGATGGAGTGGGGAATGAAGGCTGAGTTTTGCGTGGGATGGGCTTAGGGAATGAAATACTGGGGGAAATTTCAAATGCTTCTTTTTCCACATTTCTCTGTGCTGCTCTTGCTGAATTGCAGCAAGTGGAAGGAAAGCTGTGTCAGCTTAGTGTCTAGAGGGGACCTGCATGGACCAAAAACTTCCTCAGGTGATAAATAATGGCAAATCTGAACAGCAGGAGCTGCTTTGTTTGTCCATTTTCCTCATGAACTGGGCATTCTGTCTGGCAGGCAGTGCCTGATAGCAGCACAGGGCACTTTGTGTCTGGACCAGCTCGGTTGGTCTCTATGCCATGTAACATCACCGTGCACACACAACACAGTGATGTGCCTGCTGAGCTCACTAATGCTGTTAAGCTACATTGCTTTCTGGCTTCTGCTTTGCAATAAGGATGAACAGGACGTTCCGTAATCTCACAAGCTTGTTTTCTCCCTCAGCTGGCCCCAAAATCTGGTGGTTTGGATGGAAAATCAGACTCTTCTTCCTCTGGCCAGTGTCTGCTCTTATTGTGATGGTTGTTAAAGAGTACATTGCTCGTTCTTGCATTACCTGATTAATTACACCTACGCTATTTTTTTTTCCAGCGAATAATTAGAATGTTGAATGGAATTGCAGTAGAACCTGGAAAAGTGTTTGTCTTTTGGGGAAGAATTTGGCAAAACAATATCTTCTGGGATTTTATTTTTAAAGACATTAAAGACTTTTTTTTTAATCAACGATTCAGGGGTGTGCAGGAAGTTGTAGGGATGGCTGTAGAGCCATGTGGCATGAGTACAGTAATCATCTGAGGGTGGCAAGGCTCCTCACAGGGAGTAATGCAGTAGAAATCCCTTGTGTTCCCTACAATTTTAAATGCAAGAAGGATCTGCTGAGATAGTTTTATTAATCTGGACTTTGTTAGGCAGAGAAGCAGTTCAGAACAAGAGAAGTTGGGGGACTGTTGGGTTATCAACTTTGCAGCATTAGGTGTCTGTAAAAAATGCCAAAAGTACACTAATGAGACTTCTGCTTAAACTGATACAAAGTAAGTTTTTGATTTAATGTGAGGAATGAGTCCTTCCTTAAAAGCAGCATTTCAGCACTTGTTTTTTGCTTATCTGTAACAGTGGACCATTAAAGTGAGGTGTATGAGCAGAAACATTGAGAGTGCAGGGAGGAAATGTTGGCACCTCAGTTATACTGTATATAGTCCATAAATATACCTATACTGGGGATGCAGGCACAAAATCTTTTTTTTTTTTTTTTTTTACTGGTTGAGTGGATACAATCAGAATGATTTGGAGACCTTTTTGGAGCTCTGCAATTCTCCTAGTTAGGGAAATGCATGTTTCCAACCTGGATGGGGACTCTGGGTGGCTCCGATGTTTGCTCAGATGCGGAGCAGCCAGGAAACTGGCTGCAAGGTTCTGATGGGAGAATGCTGTGTATTAATTGGGAGGGTGGTGTTTTTGCAAGTATCACAGTCGTTGACTTGTCTTGAGCAGCTAATTAGTGCGATTATTCCACAGCTGCATTAGTTTCACCACAAAGGTTTTCTCCTGTTTTATCAAAAGGATCAGTGTCTCTGTGAATGTTTCAACCTGACAGGTCTTAAATAGTGAGGCTGTCTCCTTCCTCTGCTCCCTCCCTGCCCCCAGAACGTGTGCTCTGGAAGAGCAAAGTTTGATCTCTGGTGAGAGTAAGCATGGGCCCTCCTTTTGCATTTTCACAGCATTGATCCTAAACAAACTGCACAAGCTTTCAGCAGTGCTCCTGTTGGCCAGGCTCTCAGTGGCCACAGTCCTGAGACAAGAGCTGGAGGGATGCTGGGCCCTGAGCTGCACTGTGAGCTGCCTCAGCAGCATTGTGCAGGTAGCACCGAAACTCAGGAGCCAGAGGTGGAGTTTCCTTGCTGGTTTTCAGACATGCTGTGTATCTGTTTGGTCCATGGAGTCATGGATTCCTAGCTGCTTCTGACTCCCCTCCCTTAAAGGATGTGTAGATTGGTGTTTACCTGCCTTAAGAGTTCCACTTTATAGAAATGTCTTATAAATGGAGTCTTACTTGTGGGGGTGAACAAAATGATTGATTGTTTCAGAAGATGTCTCTATGTTTACAGCAAAGTGCTGTGCTTGCCCAGTGTTGATGACTCTTGAATATTGCAGATTAGCAGGATGTTAACCTGACTGGCTCAGCGGGCTTTGGGAAGGGTGGCTGCTTTCATGGAAGAGGTGGATTTATTTATTCTGAGCTAGATGATTAGACCTGGAGTATTGTCTGTATCTCTCAACGCAATTCATTCTTTTCATACTTATTTAAAAAATTATGAATATGAGTCCCTGCTGCTATCTATAAAATCACTTGTTTTTCTCATGGTTGGTTGCTGCAAAACTTGAAATAGTGAGGCATGTTTTCCAGCTGGATATTGGTGTTTAGAAGTGGTTGGTTGCAGTCAAGTTAAGGCAGCACAATGCAGCTGCTAAGTACCCTCAGTAGGTCAGCCATGCACTCATCTTAGCGTGGCGTTTCCGTTTTTGGATTCTGCTCTGCGGTTCTGCAAACCCTGAGGCTGGGATCAATGGAGCCACTGGTAGAAGCTGAGCCATCTCTCTCTGCTCTTCCCACAGCAATTCCGAGCATCCTGGCGCTTCCAAGCCTCCCTTAAGCTCCTCCAGCATGACCTCACGAATCCTGCTACGGCAGCAGCTCATGCGTGAGCAGATGCAGGAGCAGGAGCGTCGGGAGCAGCAGCAGAAGCAGCAAGCAGCCCAGTTCATGCAACAGAGAGTTCCTGTCAGCCAGACACCTGCCATCAACGTCAGCGTGCCCGCCAGCCTGCCCCCTGCCACGCAGGTACCCATGGAGGTCCTCAAGGTACGTTGGGTCCCCGCACTCCACACTCGCTCGCCGAAATGTGCTTTATGCAATAGGGATATAGTGGGAGAAGTATTTCCAGTACCAAAATCTTGCAAATGAATTTTGCTTTGGCTTGATTTGCAGATCGGTTTGGTGTCCCAGTATTCAAGATTGAAAATCTTGTTACTTTTGTGGTCTCTTTTTTCTTTAAACTTCAAGATCTTGAGAGAGAGGTTTTGTTACAAAACTCCTGTTTCTGTTGTTTTCCCATTTGGAAGCCATTGTCCGCTCTTTCTACGCTCAGTGGTTTTCAAAAGGAAGACATTTATTAATAAATACTCAAGTCAGTATTTCATTTTACAAATAATAAAAATATATATATACCTATGCTTTTAAAAATTGAATCAAAACTCATTGCAAAAAGAGGCTTCTCAGAAAGCCTTAATCTGAAATACGGTGAGTTTCCAGCCCCTTGCAACAAGCCTTGGTAATCCTTTTTTGCTTAAATGACTTGTTTGCTGTTAGTAGCTCTGGGTTCCTTGTCCTTCTGGAAGCTGTAGGAGCTTGTTAGTATCTCTCTGTCAAAGGGGATGTAGCTTGCTAATTACTCAAAGGAAATCTTGAACAATTAGAAGAAAAGAGATAATTTCTTGCTCAGAGTAAGTCCATTTCGAGTAAAGCAGTGTGAAAACATGTTAGTAAAAGAGCATAAAAAGTAATGGAAAAATATGATGATATATCTTGTGAGAGTAAAATTGTCATTTATTTTGCAAAGTTATCTATTTGCTTTGCATTATTGCAAATATGCAAATGCAAATATCATTTTTCCAATACCTTTTTATTGCAGTTTTGTATTTAGTAATTTTTTTTCAGTCAATAAGCACATTTTTATCAGATAAGTAAACTAGGTTACAATGCGTTCTTGTATTTTGCCCATTACTGTTCTGTATTAGTGATGTATATTCGAGGACTTAAGCTTAAAACAGAGTTGCAGGCTCAGTATTTCAAGGCAGTTTCAGTGTGACTGCTTTATGGAGGAGCTGCAAGTTCTTCTTGTTTACTGAATCCGTATTATGGTGTTGTGTGGACAGTGCTGTTAGTAATACTTGCAGGAATACTAGAATATACTCCAGCACAACCTACAGGAGTTAAACTGATTCTCAATTATGTATTTAATTTTTGAAGGAAGTGCATGTACTTTTAGCATATGTGCACATACCAAAGAGTCTGAAACTGACTGGGAAAAGCTATTTTGTTTTAATGTTTGTGCATCCTGAAATTGCTAAATTTCTTTCTGAATTATGACACCCTAGTTACGATGTGAATCTAGCAGGTATGTAGGTGATATGAGGTAATTTTCTGTTCACAATGTTCTTGGTTAAATAATTGTATTTTTTGATAATTTCATCCTAATTCATCATGACATGAATTTGTTTTTATTTCATGATGATGTTTTTTTTTTCCCTTTTCTAAATCTCTTTGAAAGCTTATAGGGACATGTTTACTTCCTGATGATAGGTGTGTAGTGTCTTGAAGTTTTAGCAGTCATTTACATTGTCCAGTTTACTGCTGCCTCTTTACATGAGAGAGAGAGAGAGAGAGAAGGGGAAGGATGTGAAGGACTCAGACTTGAATCTTTATCTTTTGGGGTTCTAGAGGAAGCATCTGTCCCCATTCTTTACACTTGGCAGGAGAGAGGGCACCTCCTTGACACTCTCCTTGTGCCCCAAAGGCAATGTCCTTGACCTCAGAAGAAAAACTAGCAAATATATGCTTACCTGGTTTGTAAATTGAAAATAATGCCTTGCAACAAATACCTTTTGGAAACAGAGAACTGTGCACTGAAGTAGTGGTTGGGGAAATGTGAGCTACCTGATGGAATAAAACAACCTCTGACTGCCTGTCACCTGCATTTACATAGCTAACAGGCAACAGGAGTGAAACCACATCCTTGTGATCTCTTGCTGTGCACGAGACAAGAGACTGCATTGCTGCTTGGCTCAGAAGTTGTGCCTAACAGTAAATGGGGATCTCCCTGGTGCCGATAGGCTGCCAGCCAGCTGTGCCTGAAGTATGCTGTGCTGGTGACATCACTTCCCTGGAGCTGCTTCTTACACTTCAGTTGTTTTTAGCTGTAGACAAATTGTCCGTATGAGCCTAACAGCGTTTTTAATTAGATGAATAGGGAACTACATGTGGTAATTCTAATATCCAGATGGTCTGGATTTAGTGACCTTAAAGAATGAGATAGTGTAAAAATGCCCTTTTTGTCTTTCAGAAGTGTTAATCTGTGAGGCAGTTTTCTTTGAGAGAGCTTTTCGAATGTTACTTCACAGGCCAATACCACCAAAAGTAGCAGCTGTTTTATGTAGTTGGCTTTGGTGATTTTTGTAGAACTTAAAATCACATTAAAAGCCCTAACCAGTCAGAAAAACCAACTTGGTAAATTTCCTGTTTGTATTTTGTAATTACACAGTGTGACTTGTCCTGTCTTCTATATCTTCCTATATTAAGGGAATAGTATTTGCATGCCTGAAGATGGTAGTTTGGGATGACTAGCTTAAAAAGAAGCTGAAAATGTTGATGAGCTTGCATTTTGTATTTCCAAGATGCTTATGATGTCATCTAAAACAGCACAGAAAGAGTAATTCATATTAACCTGTGTCACACTGCATAGGAATCTCTACATTGCATAATGTGGTCATTACGTTTGAAGGTATATGAATAAATAGGATTTTATTTTATTGAGTAATGACTTCTGATTGCATCATTTCTCTGCTAAGTAATGTAGCTTGGCAAGGTAGGAAATGACCTGTTGGAATTTAAATTTTGTTGCTTTGTAAAATGTAATTATGAGATGGACTAGGAGCAGGTCTATTTCATTTGAAGTAACTTTACTTCTGATAGCAGGAGGAGGGTTTGTTAGGGCTTTCAGTTGTCCTTCACTACTGATGTTAGTTTCACAGGAATAAAGGCTAACTTATCACTCAGCAGCTTCCTCATCCATATCCTAGTGGGTGAGGAGTGATGCTGCAGAAGGATGTCACAAGGGGTTCTTTGTTTCTGCTCTGCTTCTAGACTTCCTTTTTGCTATCGCAGAACTGTATTTTCACCTGTAGTCCTAGCAGCTGACACTTAAATGTGGGGAGCATCAATTATTTCTGCTTTCTGCTGGTGGTAGCTTTAATGCTCCCTTCTCCCCTATTCCCCATCTCCTTTCTCTATGAGCAGCTTATTCTAAAATGAGTGATCTGCCTGCTGAGTCACTGGTGGCATACCATAATGTTTGTAATGTGCTGGGTACTTTAAACATTTATCTGTCACAGAGGACCTCACTTAGGATTCCTTCTGCCTTGCAGCCTAGGTGGGTTTCCTCATGGTGGGTATTAACTGCTCCTTTGGTGCTAAAAATACAGCTCTTGACTGCTGTGTGTTGTCATTGTGGCTTGTTTTCCTTAAACATCTTTTCAAATGACCCAGACGCTCTTTGTTGTGTTTTCGTTCTTCCTTCATCATTCCAAGTGTGTCTGCCCATTGTAGGGCAGTATCTGTGGGCTGACCAACACAAATCCATTCATCTTTCCTAGTGCCATCCCTGCAATCACTCTAGTTCATGTTATCTTTTGTCTTGCAGCAGCTTTTCCAGAGTCTGCAGGAGCCCACTCTGGCCTCTTGCTTAACCCTCGTGGCATTGTTCATTCAGATTTTATATGCACCACCATGAAAAGCTCTTTGCATCAGACACCCTGTATTTCTTTGTATTTGAAATGCCAAGCATGCCGTGTGAGTGATGTTAATGATTATGGATGTATATTAAAAAAAAATACCACCTCCTCATCTTTTTTCAGCATGCTCTATTGCAAACAGTGACCCATGGTGTTGATGTAGTCCTTCTGGTAACAGAGAAGGCCGGGCAGTTAGAAATAGCATTCCTTGTATAGTAAGTACCATGAAACTCCATTGTATAGCAGACCTATCTTACAGTTCTGAAGAACAGGAACAATGGGATGTCAAGATAAGTGCATGGTAGCATCTGCTACAGTGTGTGTGTGTTTGTGGGAATGCTTATCTGATTCCAAGTTAATTTAATCGAACCTGACAATAGGAGATAGTGGTGTGTGCCAGTATGTTAAATAAGTATGGCTTGTATTTGCAATTGTAACTTAGAGAAGTGATTTGCCAGAACAAGCCTTGGTGAACTACAGAGACAGCATAGCAGAGCCAATGAGCATAGCTGAAGCCTACAGCAAATTCTTTGTTAGGAAAAATTAGCTTTTAACTACAGAACCTCTGAAGCCTGCCTTGCCTTCTAAACCTTTACGTAAGTAGAAGCATCTCTTGGGCTTGCTTAGTGAGTTGTAAACTACTCCGGAATAAGAACTAGTGGTAATGTCTGTAGTTTGGACAAAACCTGAAATGTAGAATCTTTTTTTAATACAGAGGTTACCAGATGTACGGGTTTGGGTGTTTTCTGGGGAAATAGTGCAGTGAACAGAGCAAGGAGCTGTAAAGCTGCTGCTCCTTGTAGAGCTGGTGCCTTTCACACAGGCAGCATGTTTCAACAAGGCGGTGTGCTGCTGTGAGGATTTACTTAGCCCTCTGCATGGGTGTGCTGAAGGACCAGACCTACTTGGTAGCTTGAAATAACACTCCTGACAAAGATGAAGCATAATAATAACCTCTCCAAAGGTAAGGGGAACTTGCTAAGTTGGTTCTCTTACTGCTTCCAAGTTTTCTTTCTGCCATGTTTTCTGATGTCTGAGTTACCAGGCTTTGGGAGAACTGTGGCTCATTACGTGTCGGGCTGCTTCAGAACTGCAGAAGATGAGTTATCTTCTTAAAGTTTTGTAGGAGCTCATAGCTGTGGCTGTTAGAAGCACAGAAGAGTTTCTGCAGCTCACCAGGTAGCAGGTTGTAGCAGGCTGTACTTTTTCAGCCAAAGTTAATTAAAAAAACCCATCTTACTACACTGTCCTGGTTGAGCCCAGATCATGGAAAAGGGGCAGTGCTACTCAGTG